TCCCTAAACAATGCCGTCTTTTGAGGCACAGCCAGCACTAGAAAATGTGTAACGGGGCTGAGTACAAAGGTGAGTCCCTAATGTTTTCTGTATGTAGACCCGTCTCTGATTACACCTGGTGTATTTAAGAGATTACAGAAAGAAAGTATTATATGAATTACTCAGCCCCAACAGATGCGACAGTTGCGCACCTTCTCTAACTATAATGGTTTCAAATTTCCACCTTAAAAACATGCCTTCTAGACCTGCCGCACTTTGCACCCAACGACCCGAAAGCTCTACGAGATAGAACTCTGCCGCCCCCCTATGTTTACGCTTTGGCTTCACATTTTTAGGTCAGACTCGAATCGCGTGGGAGTTCTCCTGAGTATTTTCTCTGTCGTTATTTTATGAGAATGGGGGAAACGGCAGACAGACCAGACATGTCCATTGTCTCTCTGTTGTTTTGCTCAATTCTCCAAGGATTTTATTTATAGAGGAATTAAAGAGAACGGGTTAAAGATGCGCATTGAGCAATGAATCAACTCATATTTTTTTAATAACTCTTTTTGAGTCAAAGCATGGTTTGCAACATTCTGGTTAGTTGCATATCCTTTACATAACGTTGCAGAACCAACCCCAGCAGCTCTGGCTGTTGTGTTTTTTCTCTGGGCAAATTTACGTCCAGTAGTTTGCCATTTCTTCCTAGACGATCGGCCCCCTGATACTACTGTCGAAACCAACGCAAGGCGAATGGCCCGCAGCTGGGATCGAACCCGGCACCCCGGCATTACGATGCGTTCGCATCGACTTGGCCACAGAGCCGACTTTTGCAACATTAACAGAGCAAAAATAATAATATGGTAAAATTTGAGAATGACTGGTTTCTTGATTCCACGATTTCTTGATTCCACGAACATTTGAAAGAGATTAGAAAAAAGAATAAATTCATACTGGCGCTGAACAAGGTAACATCTAACTTTACTCTCTATTTCTGTTGGTTCTTTTGTAATGTTGTTCTCAATGCTGGATCACAGTTCAAAGAGAAATCTGTAACAAACACGTGCGTCGTTTAGACAGCCCTTCTTCTTCTTCTTCTTCAGCATTCCGAGCCCTTGAGGTTCATTGCTGCAGATATCACTGGCATTTATCTTTCTGGTTGGCCTTCTCTTTCCAGTTGGTGACACTAAGTGTGTGCAGGTCTGTCTGGATATGATCTCTCCATCGTCTTCTTGGTCTCCCTCGTGGTCTACGACCAATCATCTCCCTGTTGTATACAGTTTTTACTTCTCTGTCATCTGACATTCTTTAAATAGGCCTCAACTATTCCAGTCTATTAGCTCTCATGATGCCAGTTATCAGTGGTGATTGAAACAGATTATGAATTAGACATCCCTCCACGTATAATAAATCACTAAAACACAACGTAATTTTGCGCCGAATTTCTTCTACGAACAAAAATGACGGTACCTATGCGTTTATGTTTCTATATTTATCCCCCAAACTAGAGTTAGTTCCCCTTGCATTATTTCGAAATCCTGCTTGTTTGTTGTTGTTGTTCGTCGTCATTTCATCCCCTCCCCCTAACCTCACCCCACAATAAAAACCATTCCCGCCCCCTTATATTTTACTTTTCAAATTATTCCTTCCCAGTGCAACATGCATTGTTGAGATTCGTAATAATCGCTTCATTATTCAGTTCTAGGGCAATATTCTTTGCTAAATAAACAAACACCCACGCTGAAATCCCAAAGTCTCCACCTCTCCCCCCCCTCTCTCTCTCTTTCTCTCTCTCTTTCTCTCTCTCTCTCTCTCTCTCTCTCTCTCTCTCTCTCTCTCTCTCTCTCTCTCTCTCTCGTTGTCACATTACGGCACCGTTTACAACAAGCCAGGTTTCAAAACAAGGGCTGTTTTTAGCAACAATTCCCCTGCCAGAACTGATTTCTTTACTCGCTCGCGCATTCATAAAGCGTTCCCTTTGTTTATTAGTCCTAGCTGCATTGTGTGTGTGCGTGCATGTGTGTGCGTGTGTGATCTGCCAGTTGATATCATCCATTTCCATTCACGTGACAAGGCTAATAACAATGTAATGAACACACTAAGTACATATGTGTGTGGGGAGGGGGTGTGCGGGTGGGTGGGGGAGGGGTTGGGGGTGTTGGGAAAAAGGGGAAAAGGGGGGGGGGGGCTTAATCTGTGAGTGGTTGATGAATGTGTTTAACAGTTTCATGATCATCAGTTGCGAGGGTTGGAGGGGACGGTTTGCTTTGAAAAACAACCGTTCTCTGGTTGTCGGGACAGTGGTACGAGAGTAGCATCGTGGAAGAGATTTTGGCGCCTCACCCCCGCTATATTGATAAGTCAGCAGTGGCCAGACTGTTGACAGCCATTACTGTGGAGGTCGGCACATTATTATTTATTTATAACTTCATAGGTTAAACTGGTAATCTGGGGTATGGCCCACTGACAGTTATCCCCTCCAAGCTCTTCCCTTAAGGTTCGACACTACTGCGACTGGACAAATCTCATCCTTGATGTCAGTCCGAACGGATGAATCCCTGTTCAACCTATCATAAGTTAACAGTTGAAGCCCTAGTCATAGGTACACGTACTAGTGTTTCGTACCATTTTATCCTAAACGGCGGTTCCTGGTTGGCTGAACTTCCGAAATATCGCTCACAGTGCCACTGTTGGTTTGAGGCTTCACACGACTAGTTTTAAAATATCCCCTCCTATTCGAATAGCAAAGATGTTAAACCCCATAGGAAGCAGCCCGGAAAGTAATGGGGTGGGGTAGGGGTGTGAAGTCAGGCAGTTGTCTATAATAATAATAGTAGAGAGTAGTCGACAAAGAGGAGGGCAAAGGAGAACCTAGAATAACATCAAGAAATGGACAGCACTAAGTTATCATACACTTATTCATCAAACGGAAGACAAAGATAGCGGGTTTTATGTACTAGTGCTTCCATCGATTCACCTCCACGACACTAAGGGGTCAACGGTTATGTTATGTTATGTAATTAAAATAACAATAATACACGCACACAGTGGAGCTTCGGGAGAAAAGAAATTCAAGTGAATCATAAGGTGAAAATAAAACGCTGGCGTTAGATAGGACACATCTTAAGAAAACCTGAGAAAATATGATTAGAATGACTTTACTCTGAAACCTACAGAGGCATAGAAATAAAGGCAAGAGCTAGTGAGAACTTGAAAAGATGGGAGGGCATGGAATGAGCTGTCTGAGACGAAAAAGGATATGACGGCCTGTGTTGGTTGAGGGCCTAAGCTACATTAGGAGCTTAAAGGAAGAAGGAAGAAGAAGAAGAAGAAGAAGTAGTAGTAGTAGTAGTAGTAGTAGTAGTAGTAGTAGTAGTAGTAGTAGTAGTAGTAGTAGTAGTAGTAGTAGTAGTAGTAGTAGTAGTAGTAGTAGTAGTAGTAGTAGTAGTAGTAGTAGTCCTAGCACTTGTGCACGCGAGAAAACTAGCTGCGTTATATCGGGAGAACAATTTGTTGTCGAAGATTCAGAGTAAAATTAGTATTTTGTGGGGGGGGGGGGGGGGGGGCGGGGGTGAAAAAAGGGGTGAACATTGGTGTGGTGCATAGAGACTGAGAATGAAAAAGAGTTGCCGAAGAAATAAGTAAGAGACGAATGAACAGTTTCGGCCATTTTAAGGGCTATATAGTAAAAACTATAAAAAATAACACAGGATGGAAAAGTTAGAGGCACGGTCGGGCTCCAGCTGAATCATGTGCCGAGTCGTGGTTAGCGGCAATCGAGCAAGAGGCAGACCGCCATACAAGTGGGAGGATAACACAAAGAGACGGGCGAACATCAGTCTGAGACTGTTCATCCTGGGCAAAAGACAGAACGCTTTAGAGATCCCTTGCAGTCAACCTTCATTGTAGAGACGCCATCCAAGAGATGAATGTGTGAAACCTGCCACCCACTAGAAATGCATTACGACTATCAAGAGTACCACCATTAGACAGTCCTAGCAGTAAACATGTTGACCAGTTGCAGCTTGAGTGCAGTATTGTGACACACCCCTCAAATCTATTCTCAGACACACAACTCCCATTTTTCTCTTTTACCTCCTCAGTTTTGCCACAGTCGCGTGTCCTATCTTTAGCTTAGTTTCATCTTGAGGTTGCACGTGCAGATTTAGATCAACGAACTCTTCAACTACGATTGACCAACAATCTAGAACCGCCCCAGATTTTTTTTAACCCTGTTCAAATTGTATTTTGACCAAGATAAGGTACTGCCAGCCAAAATAAGAATTTTTTTCCTTTGATTCTCTAATTCGGTCCCAGTTGATAAAGTTACTATAAAGAGAGCGTGGCATATTTTTGTCGAAATAGATTGGAAGCCAAACAAATATTCCCTGGGGATACAAGCGTGGCTGGTTAGATTTGGTTTAACTGCGTGTTCCACCCCACCCCCTCTCTAATTATACGGTGTGGCGGTGTAAACACTATTGTTGATGTTTAGAAAGTATTCTTGGCTGAATATTGTCGGGCAGTTGGATTGTATTGGGAGGCTTAGAAACAAAGGTAGAGAGGCAATGATAAAGAGAATGTGAGTGAAAGCAAGAGAAAGAGACAAAAGGTTTTGAGAGAGGGGATGGTACCGTGAGACACAGAGAAGGAGAGACAGGGATTGACTAAGAGAGAGAAAAAATGAGGCGGAGCGGGTGAGATTGACATCTAGAGCAAGAGAGATAAGACACTGATTGGGACACGATGAGTAGTTGATTCAGACACTTAGAGAAGGTGAAAGAATGAGAGATACTGAAACAATAAATGGGGCATAAAGAGAGAGAGAAAGAGAGAGGGTGATGAGTATTGACTGAATTAGAGATAGACAGCGTTAAAGAAGCCATTTCATTTTATCAAGATTTATGTGTTCAGTTCTAAGTAGCATTTGACCGGATAACACAGTAAGTCAAGATTCTCTTAAGTATTTTCATAATTTCATCTTCAAAATGTTAACAAATTTTGTTTCATTTGTAATGCAGGTAGCAGATATCTTGGATAGATACATTCATGATGGAGAAATGCCCCAGACACCAGTACACGTGAAAAAACCTAGAAGACCTAGTGCATCGGTGATCGACGAGTTTTTTGGAGAACCTCAAAAAGGTATCAGTGTGCTTTCAAACAAATCCAGCTTCCTCAACGTGCCAGAAACTCCGTTCAACTCCAGGCAAGCTTCAAGAATGCTCAACTCTGCAGAGAAGCAGAGCTTCTTTGACGATGACTGTAGCAGAAGAACCAGCTCTTCTCTAATTGAAGAATTTTTTGGAATGACAACATCCGAAAAGACATGGATCAAGCCAGAACCACCGGTAGCGTCCAGTATAGGGGTCTTCGAACAGGAATGCCCAGACGTGTTTGACATTGACTCCACACTGTATGATTCTGTATCGAGTTCAGGAGTTTTGGCGGGGATGACCCCACTTAGTAGCAGCACAAATATTCATCTTCATAACCCCAGTACTGTCAGTAGCTGTGCAATGCCAGCCTCATCATCTGATTCCCTATGGGAAGATCTGACAGCCAGTATGAATATGCTGGACAGCCAAAATCCATGTAACACCAACACCAGCACCACAGAGCTGCTCAGTGGCAGCTTGCCAACATCCATCAATGGGAGACAGGATGGTTTCAGCATTAAAGCTGAGCCAATGGACTGTGAAGAAAAACCATCTTGCCAGTTTGACCTTTCCTCATCTGCACTGTCTCACAGCAGTGCTATCAGCCATGCCAGTAGCAGTTTGGACACTTTTTTGTTTGATGCTCAGGCAACACCCTCCTATGGACTGCCCAGTAATAATATCAGTATAACCAGCTCATTGCTAAGCAGACAATATCCTGCCTCAAAAACATCATACAGCCAAGTTATTCATCACCATTCACTCAACAGTAATAGAAGTATTGCCAACTCAGGTCCAGCTCGCCCCATGTCTTCTTCAGGATATCTACCTCACAGTTCTCATTACCAGACACACTCCAATAGCTATTCATCTTCATCCCCAAGTCCTCATGCTGTCTCCAGTCCCTTCTCACCACTCACTCCTCCTAATTCCCAACCAGGAAGTCCAAACAACGATACCATCAGAAGAACCCCACCTCCTCCCTATCCAAGCTTTCAAATTCCCCAATCAAGACTCAGCCCTTCTCCATCCTCTCTTCCCCTGACAATTTCCATGGCACCTGGACATAGCAGATCCGAACGCCCTCGCAAACAGCCTGTAACACACCCTGGTTGCTCTACCATCAAATACAACAGGAAGAACAACCCAGAGTTGGAGAAGAGACGCATCCACTTTTGCTCGTTTCCAGGTAAATTGAATTTACTAACTTATTTATTGCATTAAAATTGGCTTGGTTTATCGCTGTCAGTATCTTAGATCATAAGGTGTGGATATCACAGCCTAGATATCAGCCACAACACAAACGTGCCAGTGCCCTTTTAAGTGTAAACACAGAAGTAGAAGAAGAAGAAAAAGAAGATGATGATGATGAAGAAGAAGAAGAACTATTCTTGGATTCTTTTATGGATGTGGTAAGACATGAGAGATTTGCTATACCGTTGTAATAAAATGGTAATACATAATAATTCTACTGAGGATAGTCACAGGGGTCTGAATGTGAGGCCTTTACATATAATTGGTCACAGTTCAGGTATGTGAGAGTTGGAAGAAAGGAGTGATGGGTTTGGAATAAAAGCTGTTTCATTGCTGTCATCTGCACCTTTATAATAATAAAATGATCAGTGCATTTTTAAGTTGTGTTTTATTTTGTTTCCAGGTTGTAGAAAAGCCTATACAAAAAGTTCACATTTGAAAGCCCATCAAAGGATTCACACAGGTGAGTGCCGCCACTGTTCAATATTGACTCATCTTTTCGTTTTTTTTCTTTTTTAGTTATTTTTTTTTAATCTTCGATCTTTGATTATATATTGAGAGGTTATTTTGATATTTAGGTCTATATTTGATTTGTTTTGTAAATTTTTTTTAATTACTATACGCCTGCTGCTGTCACTTCCTAGTTTGATTTTCGTGCCTGGGATGGTTTATTGTTGTTGTTTTTGTTGTTCTATCTTTCTTCTTCTTCTTTTTTTTTTAATAATAAAATTTAGTGACATTAAGACCATTTTTTGTCCTTTAGTTTTTCAGTGTCAGTTTTTTGTTGGTTTCCATTTTTCTGTTGATTCTTGGTATGGTTTCTTTTTAGTATCTTTTAATAATTGATTCCTTTATAAGTATTATTATTATTATTATTATTATTAGGTGTGTCATTGTTTAGAGCATTGGTTATAGGTTTATAACATAAACTGATCTTTTGGGCCAAAGGGCGAAAGCTCATGCGCCGCTGGATCGATCTTGTCTGTGTGGTTTAAGATCATGTTATAACAGTTTGTGACACAAAAATACAGAGGTCCTTTTATATTTCTTTGTCATGTATTATATTAAATTTCATTGTCGTATGTTATGTTATAATTCATTGTTATGTTTATTTCATCCTTAGGTGAGAAGCCATACAAGTGCCACTTTCAGACCTGTGGCTGGAGGTTTGCCCGCTCTGATGAGCTGACCAGGCATGTTCGTAAACACACTGGTGCCAAACCATTCCAGTGTAGGGTTTGTGATAGAAGCTTTGCTCGCTCGGACCACCTGGCGCTCCACATGAAACGTCATGAGCCCAAGAGTAAGTGCGGTGATGGTAGTAAGCAGCTGTGAAGATGCAACAAGGATGACGACAACGCATTCAAAGAAGCTTGTGACTTATTGTGTGGGAGAGACTGATCCCCTTACAAGATCAAGGTGTGACAACGGAAGTCTGTACTGCTGGCAGAACAGATTGTCCTTCTCTACTTCTGCATTGAATCTAGAATAGCAATAAACTATGGACAATGTTTCTTTTAGCAGAGTGTAGTAGTGGGATGTCTAATGATCCTTGTTCTTGATGCCTGGGTCCCATATAGAGGTGATCCTCATCTGGGTTCTGGTCCCCATTTTGAGGGAAAGAAGAACAGACCCACTGTCCCCCTAACATGTTAACTAATTAGGGCTGTTTCTTTCAAAGTCAGGGTGCATCTGCCTGAGAGGTTGAGAGGCCAGTAGTCTGCTTATAAATAAGCCAGATCTGTAAAACGGCTGTGCACGCAAAACTCAAGTTCTGGAACAAGACATGAGTCCAGAAGTGGATGAACAACCAGAACAGTCTGTCAGAGTTTACAGCTGACACAGGAAGAAGAAGAAGAAGGGGGGGGGGGGGAGAATAGACCACTCCCAACATGCATGTCATACAAGCCAACCAATTAGGGAGCTTCCTCAAAGACGAGTGCGTCTGCATGAGATTGAAGGAACCAACAGTCTGCACACAAATAAGCTAGATTTGTAAACCAGATGTGTATACAAAACAGAAAAGTCCAGAAGTTGATAAACAACCAGAACTTTCTGCAGGAGTTTACAGTCAGTGAAATCTAAGAAGAAAACTATTTAATGATGCAGCAATAGATTTTTAAAGATTTTAATGAATATTTCTTAACAAACACACTGGGCAGGGAATCTCACGATGCAGAAAAGTTATCTGGTGCCCGAATGGACCTTCAGTCCACCGTGATGTGAGCAATATTGCGCAAAGGGCCTGCTACATGATGATACATGAATACAATGCAGACCTCATAATAAGAACTCAACCCAAGAAATGGTTCTTCTTATCAGAAGTTCCTCTTATCCAGATAAAAGTTCGGGTAATAAACATTTTAGGGGATAAAAAAATTATTCTTCACAATAGAAATTTGTCTCATACAAGATCGCTTTAAGCGGTCTTTATTCTACTGACCTGCTAACCCTTCGTAGAAGAAACATTCATAAATGTGGCGGTGGTAAATTATTTCTTCTCTATGTGATAGAGCAGCAGTGACAGCAATTTAACGTCATTATGATGTAACTGTTATCAGTTATCTTATTAGCTGTCAAAATCGGGAACTTCATGTTTTTTTTGGACATGATATAATTGATCTTACTGCTATTTTAAACAGTGAACACACACATTATTTTGCATTATTTACTGTCTGGCATATTTAACAGCATCTCTGAGCTACAGCCAAATATGCCAGATTGCAAATTAGATACCATGAAAGTGCCAGGCAATAAATTAGTTACAGCAAAACACGCCAGGAAGTAAATTGTACAATATTTTGTTTGTGTCATTATTTATATTCACAATGGGAAAAAAAAACTGTTTTGAATTTTGCACTATTTCCAGCACAGTGCATCTATATTAAGACATCTGTTGTATATGAATTAGCTGTTTTTAAATGTTCCTTTGTTGAGTATTATGGAATTTAAAATCTGTATATTTTTACTCACAATATTAACATGGCTCGTGTAGATATTATGAATATATAAGTTTTTTATTTGTATGTACACTTCATTTTTTAAATTTGTATTTGTGTTGAAATCATGGTCTTTCTAGTCCTACCATTTTTATCATATAAACCTAAATATAGCTATGACATTTTTACATGTACCTATTTGTTGTTGTTGTCTGTATGTCGTTGTTTCAAATAGGTTCAAGAACTCCCACTATTATTTCAATTTGTTCCAGTAAAAGTTAATTTTACAGGATGTTGCAGAACCACCCCAAGCATTTTTTTTTAGCTGTTGTGGTTTTTTTTCTAGGCAAATTTACGTCCAGTAGTTTGCCATTGCTTTCTGGACAGTAGGCTTCTCAATACCACTGTCGAAACCAACGCAAGGCCTGCAGCTGGGATAAAACCCGGGGCCGAAGCGCGTTCCTAACGCCTAAGCCATAGACACAGATGACAGTAAAGGCAAACTGAAAATTATGATATCTTGATCTACTGATATCATAGAATTATAATTCTACAGAAGAAGGTTATAGTACTTTTATAAAACCAGAGAAAAAGTACCTTTTTCCACACCTGCAGGTTGATTAGGCATATAGGGCTAGACTTATATTTGATTGACCAATCTGCATTTGATAGATGATATGGTCAACATCTTGCTGGCTGCTTTTACTTCCCAGGACTGTACCAGGCACCCCTGTGAGGCTGGGACAACCTGGAATCCAAAGTCATCTTGAAAAATGTCAGGACTTGAACCCATAACCTTCCGATCTGCAGGCAGGCATCTAGCAGCTACACCACGACAGCCCCATGAAATCAGAGTAGCTATTTAATTTTACAAAGACTCTAAAGGACACATGGAGTTTACCACAGACATTAGAAGAACAACGGTCAATGTCTGTGACCAGATTTTGAGAATATGAAGACCGGAACATACTGAAACTGTTTTAATTAACCATTTCAGTATTCAGATATGCACCGTGCACATTTTGGCTTCTACTTATATATCATTTTCCTTAACTCATACCACAGCCATTTGTTACACTAAACCCCCTCCCCCTACCTAAATGCTCCAATTGTTACTTTAACGCCTCTTCTCTCATGCTGGTATTAAGCCGCCCAATCTTATTACCAACTGGATTCCAGGGCCCCATTATGTGTGTATATGTGTGTGTGTGGGGGGGGAGGGGGGGGGAGGGGTTATTCCAGAGAGATGATCGTGAAAGTTCTTGCAAATAGCCACAAAAGATATCAGTATCTGCCTCAATGCATAGTATCAGAGAACAGGAGCTAAGGAAAGTCACCATGCCTGTGAGAAGAGACCTGTCATTGATGATGACAATGACAACTGCTTTTTACAAAATAAATCACTAAGTGAAAATGCCTAACACATTCAGTTGTTTATAACAAGTTCAATTGTTTATAAAATAAACATCTTACAGCTGAAGATGGCTGTGACTATGTTCTAAATATGTTTTCTGGAATGATATTTTTTGTTTTGTTTTGTTTCTTCCATGATTCTTGCCCGCTTGTTGTTTTTATCTAACAAGATGTTAACCTGTAACTTATTTCTGTGTTCAAATATTTATCATTTCCCTGTGAATAAAATCTGAAAGCGACATGGGAGAACAGATGGAGGTATTGTTAATAATATAAAAATAAATAAAATATAAAAGGCAAAATGGGTTTTAATAAGACTATGGTAATTTGGGGACGTCATTATAAAAATCTTGCAGCAAACAGGTGATTCTAACTTCATATTTGTACGTATTGCTGTGTGGCTAAAACAGTTACTAGTGGACTGTATGTTTTTTGGGAAAGAACTAAAATTCTAGCAAATCAGAGGATGAACAAATGACTGACACTGGAAATGGCTTTGAAAAAAATCTGCTAATAGAGTAAATAGAAAATCTGTTCTCTGGAACCCACAGAGCAGAAGAAATAAAGTAAGATGGAGAAGACAGTTAGGGACAGATGAATCATTTGGGGATGAGATGGAGGAAAAACAGGAGATATCAAGATGATTAAGTTGTGAGCTTATGTTTCAGTTGGAACAGAAGGCAGCAGAAGAAAAATTTGAGGTGTAGAGCTGTGTTTTGACTACTTATTTTATTTCTTTGTTGGGTGTGCTTTTCTTATTTACGTAGCATGTTATTTACATAGCAATACCGGTGCAGTGACAAAGTCATTAAATATTCTTTATTGTACACACTTGCATTTAACGTAATGTTTTTTTAAAAGATATTGTTAGGTTTTGTTGTCTGAGATTTCATATTGTTACATTTGTCCTTACATTTTGTCCATTTGTGTGGGTAGCCACAACAAATAAATTTCGATCAAATGCAGTTTTCCGTGTCTCTTATTATATTTTTTCTATACTGGATATTACTCATGTATACAGCGCTTTTTTAAGTTTAGTTATAAACAAAATAAAATATTTGTTTAACTAATTATGAAACAAAAAGCTAAGGATTTTCTGTTATTCGACACTCTGATTAATGTGGATGTTTTTTTGTGTGGAAGTTCTGGTGTGCCTGGGATTGTGTGTCCTTTTCTTTTTAAATTACATTTTTTTAAGTTTGTGGAATTTGAGGGGGAAAAGGGGGGGGGGGGGGGGGGGCATGAGGATCTTGCCATATGTTCAGAAGGGGAGGGGGAAAAAGGTTGAAAACCACGGCTCTAAACAGGTCTGCAATTACTATTTAGTCAAAGAGGACGACTAAAACCACAACCACCATCCTATATAGCCTTGAAACTCTCATTATAATGGCTTAACTAATGCAACAATAATGTATTAATTAATAGACGGCAACAATAAAATTAAACCACACAAATGCAAAAAAATCAAAGTATACAGTATTTTTTTTTTTAAATAATTTTTTTCAGCATTGTAACCCTGTTATCTTTTGTGATGACTGTATTAGTATTATAATTGTTGGCACCACATACCAGAGTCACCGAAGTGCAACAGCTGGTGATTTTCACCAACATACACTTTCATGACTGTTTTTTGTCACTCCACAATATGTCAAAGGCACACCAGTGATTTCCTACTCCTGAGAGGTCAAAATAAAGTTTTTTTTTTTTTTCACACAGTTAAATATTTTTCATTTGCCACCATCTAATTTTTCAGAGAGCTCGCAAAGTTCAAACCCTTGTTTCAAAATAAGGAGTTCGGTGACTTTGTCTCGGACACACTGTTGACGATATATACGACTGGGGTATACTCACAACTGTCACAGTGTTGTTGTTTTATACATGATGGTATTACATTTACTGCCATTGAGTCCACTTTTGTAAATACAAGTTAGTTGTGCATTCTTTACACGATGTTGAATCCACCCCAACATTTTCTGGCTTTTG